GAAAATGAATGATTTTTCGAGAGAATCATATTTTCAGGGTTGAGATAGACTAAAATAAGAAGAGAAGAAAAAGAAATGAACATTTTTAATCTATTGTTCCTCCTAAAAGTTACCCAAACAAGATGAAGAACGCACCTTTCTCTTCCTTTCCCTAGATCTAACCATGGTTTCAAAGTAAATGTCTACAAACCAATATTACTCAAAACTTGATTGTGTCCCCAAATGGACATTAATTGGGACAGTGGGGCGCTATGATATATGGTACCAAACATATGAAATAGGAGGATGGAGAGTTAGTCATTGCACCTGAATTTGGTTCTCTCTTGAATGCCAGTCAGAGTCTTCCCACTTGCCTTCTGCCTTTCATGAAAGGAACAAAAAGAAATGAAGCAGAAGGCAGTATTTATTACCTTTAATTTGCTCAGGGCCACATCCCCTCCATGCGAGTCTTGTGACATCACATTTGAAACAGAATTTCTCACTACCATTCGAAAACGTGCCAAACTGCAGTAGAGAGCACCATTTTCTCCTCGCTTCCAAATATTACTTTTAGTGGCATAAGATGAATGTGTAGGCAGGGAGACAAGCTAAAAGCAAACCTTCTTTTCAATTCCCATCGTGCACCACAAGCCAAAAGCAATAGCTAATATAATAGAATAGAATACTAATTTTCTTTTTTAACTAACGATTTGTTGGTTTAAGTAAAAAAAATTAATTCTCTTTAAATAAAATCTTAAGTTTAAGTCTTATGAATGAAATGACAACTTTCATTTTATAAGGTCTGATGTGGTTTGATTTCAAATTAATCAAAACTTAATATAAGTTTAAGATACGAAAGGTTTAGTATAAAAAAATAATAAGTATTTCTTAATTTTTCAAAGATAGGAAGAGATTACCAAGAAGTTGCAATCAATAGAGGAATTTTAAAACCCAATTGAAAAAGGCTCTTGCCAAAAAAAGAGAATTGAAGAGGTTGTATTAACAATATATTTTGTTTAAAAGAAATAGAGAGAAAGAGAGGAGAGGGGAATGGAAAGATATGACATCCTTTTATTTCCCTCCTATTGCCTCTCCTCATTTAGATAAATGCAAGTAAAAAATCAAGTCTCTCCTATCCCTCCAAATTTTTTACTAATCAAATAGAGAAATTTTCACCCCTTTTCTCAAACTAAACATATTAAGAGTGCATTGATTGCAATTTTTACAATTAATTTATATAGAAAAAATGAAAGTTGTCCACTTGGTTTAGAAGTTTAAAAACCTAATGTTAATTGAAGAGTAATTCGGATAAAAGAAGAAAAGTAAGTAAAATTAACTGATGATAATTACTTAGAAAATTAAATATAGTAAAGGGCTTTACAACTTTTATTCTCTTTTAAAGTCTTAAATGTTTAACTGGATATATTTTATTTAATTTTTTAAAAAGTAAAAATAAATATAATGAATTTCTTTAACTTTAAAATTTTAATATGTTTTTTTAATATTTTATGGGGCTGGTTGCAGGCCTCCCTATTTCCTTCACTTATTATTATTATTATTATTATTATTTCAACTTTTTTTTTTTCAATATAGATGGTAAAGAAAAGTTGCAGTACTTTTACTACTAATAATTAATATAGAGTTTCATTAAGGGCAATCTGTAAACATTTGTGATATATTTCTTTCCATATATCAACCCCTCATAATTTCGTATTTTTCTCTTTATTTATTTGCCTCCTTTGAGGATGTCTCTGTTGGTAAGTAGTGGTCCAGCGCCAGCATTTGGATGGCATCCAGTAATTATTAGAGCATAAAATTAGAAGGTTTATCAACTTTGTAAATTCAGGATTGGCTGGAAAAAAAGAAAGATAATGCTAAATGATGTAGCAGAAAGAAAAACGAGACTAATAATATATATTGGTAGTACATTTCTTAACATGACAGCTAATGAATCGATAGGATATATATACCAAAATTTTCTTATCATTGTTTATTAGTTGATGAAAGATAAATCATCTACGTAAAGACTAGAGAATTTATCACCAACTTCATATTCTCCTCCTGACATTTCTCTGTGCCCCGTGAAAGAGAGTTTCTCTTCTCATGACATCTCTTTATGCCCAGTGAGAGAGAGACAGAGAGTTTGAGCAATCACCATGAATGGCTGTAAGAAATTCATATATACTATTATGTGCGGCTGTTGTGGGAAATTAAGATGATCCTCCACCTCATCCAAATATACACAATATGGGATTTGGAGAGCTAACCTACACCACAAGCTTATATAGTCAATCCTTTGGTGGAAATAGAATATGAATTTCATGATTTTAATTAAAGGAGAGACTAAACCCAATTGTACCAAAACCACTATATAAAATAATGATTGCAGTGTTCACCTTTTTGTCAATCACTAGTTTTTGTTACACAAAATAAATTATGGTGTGTTGTGATTCATGTGGATAAATCAATAACTGTCCATTCAGGAAAAAAAAATGCGAGTCTCCACTCACAGAAGGTTGAACAATAACTGATTAATTTAAGATTGTCAAAAGACATTAAATGAGTGGAGGGATTATACGTGATCACATATTATTTAGTTTTATTGATATTTTATTAATTTATAATTTTTATTTAAATAATTAATTATAATATTTAAAAATATTAATTTAT